CTCACCCTAATGCCACCAAATGTCATGGCAGACCTGTTTATCCTCAAACTCTTCAAATCGTAAAATATCACAAAATGGTTTAAAACATTATCTTAATTGTAAAATAATAAACATACTGTATAAGCATGTATACACCTCAAAATCGTACATTGTAAGCCAGAGTAAACAGGTCTGCTATACCCATACAATTGAAATGATACCCATCCAAGAGATTAGCACCGGGAATATTCTATGAAGATTACTTTAAATAACTTGACCGGTTTTGGGGGGAGTTAAGAAAGATTAAATTCTTTAAACTTTAAGATTTCTGAACGCACTAGCAATATTCACTTCATGATTTCCATTCCGCCCCCACCCCCCCCAAAAAAAATGTCTTCTCCCGCACCGTGACTGACGCATGCTTGGTAACCGAGAATCACAAAAGCCATTGCTCTCAACAAACACACAACCCACTCTAAATTACATTTACCGATATTAGATGTTTCAGTAAATCAAACTTTAACATGAATACTGATGGGATCAAATTGGTAGTGAATTTAGCCTGTCATAATTTTGTTTTTATAAATAGTAGATAAAAATCAGACAGAAAAGAACTGGCACATTGAAGACGTATTTAGTTACGGTCAGCTATTAGTCCTATTTGCAGACAACGATGTTATACAAAGGTTTATTGCAGTGTTTCGTCATGCGGCAATTCGAAAATCGTTTGGCGAAACAATAATTTAACCGAGCCCAGCTTTAGGTAATGAACGAATGCACTTACTGTTTCTCTATATATATATATTTATATATAGTATTGGTCGTGGTGGACATTCAGATATAAGACAACACAACACATCAGTGAAATATAGGAAAAGACTGATTGCCCCAATTAGATTTCTAGATTAGAGTTCATAGTCAAAATGAGCATATATTAATAAAGAGGCCCCCGGACCCCTCTTTAGCTGGAGGGTATCTTCCCCCCCCCCCCGCAAAAAAAAAACAAAACAAAACAAACGTCCTAGAAAACGTCCTGTTTTTTTCCAAATCATTTGGTCACCCTAGGGGGGGGGGGGGANCATTGGGGAGAGGGATGGGCTACAAATTAAATTGTTTATTTGTTAAAAGTGTCAAAAAAGTTTGACACGTGAGGCAGCAGGTGTTACCGACTTTCCCCATTTGATGACCCTGAGGGGAAAAGGGGGGGGGGCATCTACATAGCGTATACCGGTACGAATAAAAGTCAAATTATCTAACCCCCTCCCCCCTCCCCACTGTTGAACCAAACTTTTTTTAATTTTTAAAAATTTTTAAAGAACACTTTTCCCAACTATTACGTTACAATGAGCTGTCGGGACTCACCCAACCCTCCCCCCCCTTCCACCAAAAAAAAACAACATTACAAACAGAAGAAAAAAACAACCTGAAAAAAAATTAAAATCTATTTTTATATTGTGAAGTTACAGAATAGAAAAAGTGGCACGGGTTTTCACTACTCCGCCAGTTCAGACCAACAAAATAATTACCGTAGATACTCACATATAAGCCGAATTTAGAACTATAAAATACAATACTGAAATCAGGGGTCAGCTTATATGCGCATAAAACAAAATGGACACAAGGACAGACACTAATGCCAATTTTCCAGCCACACATTTTCATCGCTATCTGACTCTTTATTGGGTTGTGTGCACAGGGTACTAATATATATATATATACAGAGGTGTCACTTGAAAGAATGTAATGTTTGCATAGCTGATAATGATACTGAGTGTGAAAGAGCATAACACATTTTTGGTGTCATTCCAAAAGGTAAACAAACTGGTATGTAACATAAAAGTAAGCATCTTACATCTTTACAGTAACACATTTCTATGAACCCAAAATATGGAGTAAAATTGGACAATTGTATGTTCGGCTTATATGCATGTTTTTGCAAGAACTGGCCATATTGTAAAGCAGTTTTAGGGGGTCGGCTTATATGCGATGTAGGCTTATATGCGATGTAGGCTTATATGCGATGTAGGCTTATATGTGATGTGGGCTTATATGCGAGCATATACGGTATGTAACAAAACTACTTTACATTCTTGGTCACAGTCAAAGAAGATAGGGGGGGGGGTGAAGTTGGGGGGGGTGAAGCTGGGGAGGGGGGGGTTGAAGTTGTCGCTGGGGCGAATTGTCTAAATAGTACAGTTGACGC